TTGGTGTGAAGCAAGCGCGTAGAGATGAAACTGTCATACATCAAGAGTCGTATTTACTTAAGGCATTGCATAGGACATTTGACCACAACGGGTGGAAGTGCTCGTGGCAATAGCTTCTTTCACACGGTCAAGTGTACAAGACCTGTCCTGTGGGCCTGGCAGTGTTTTTTGGCCCATGAGGTAACAAAGCAATGCACAATCAGGCTGATAAGCCTACAGACCTGAAGTCAAGTGCAAGTTAGGAGTGTAATGAATTATATTAACGTGTCCTTCCCATTGAGGTGCCGTTGAATTGTAGGTTCCCAAATGTGCTGGCCATGTTTCTTGGTGTCTCAGTCTAGGTGGTGAAAACTGATTCTGAAGTATGTTCTTGTGGCACTGTAAAAATCTTGTATTTTTGTCAGCTGAGTGTCATGTACTTCAGGGTCTTTTCCAATGATGCTGCAGTTCTTACCTATATTAATCCTTTTAGGATCCTTCTACCTTCTCTTTTGCAAGGAAATGCTTTCTGTGTATCAGAAATTGTGCATCCCTCCTCTGTCACCTCTATTTTTAAATAGTGTTATCAAACTGAGTTTTCATATGGCAGATCTTGTCCTGCAAGGCAGATCAAATCTTTCTTTGCCTTTCACCTCTTTTTTTAGTTAGTCTGTTCTTTTTTCATATTTCTCTGTCATATTGTCTGGTATCTTTGAATATTTATTCATATTTCTTGCCACAGCTGCTTCATCATTTGTATCACCAGTGCAACTTCACACATTCACATTTGCAAATCCATTCCATGTGCATTTGAGATTTATTCCTGCCTGAAGTCCCTGGTTCCTTAGTTATTGGTTGAAACCTGTTCAGTCTATAGGCTTGGATCATGCCAAGAGAATTTATTGTTTTATTTTGTTTTCCAGCTTCCCTGGACTCTCATCATATTACTTTCCCTTCCCAAACATCTTCATCTACAGAAATATCAAAAATAGAGACTGGTAAATTGTGTTTATGATACTTACCTAGCTTAGGATTTGGGTTTGTGTTCACGATGTTACAGTTACAGGCTTTTTAAAGCTCTGCTTGCTTGGTGTTGTCTGAAACAGAATTTTGTCTGCAGTGTTAGGTAATTAGGCTCCGTAACCACATGATGATACATTGTGGCATAGGCTCAAACAAAAAGAAAACCCACAGGAATCAATATTGGTTTGGGTGGTTTTAATCTGTTGGATATAAGGACTTCTAGCTGAGTGGAGTCATTATCAGTTATGAAGATATATTCTTGATTGTGAGATTTTACCCTGGGTGATTTTTTGTTAGTCAATACCATACATATTTTTTTGCAGTTTTCTCCATTATTAAACATTTTTCTCAAGTTATGTTATGTTGAAACTTTTCTTACTGGGGTCATAGCTCCCCAAGATTAAATTTGTATTCATAGCAAAAGTATGAATGTGAGGGAGCTGATAAGGAAAATTATCCTAAATCTGATAGTCAGTATTTCAACAGTATTGTTTTGAATTTTCTGCCTCACCTTCTGGCTCTTCAGTATGTCACTAAAGTTTATGTTATGTCAATTAGATAAAATATCACTATTTATTTTAAATGAAAAATTACATGTTGTGTAGTACACCTGTAACTCAAAATACTGGCATCTGTTACAATGAAACAAGGAGAGCTTTGGCCATAGAAATACCTGGCCATAGAAATTCATATTAGTATATATTTTAAGTATGTAGGTCTCTTTCTACAGAGGCAGGTGAAATCAAAAGCACAGGTTTCTTCATGTTTCATGTGATCAATCAACTCCTGTTGATAAGTCTGCTTTTAGGGGACTGCAGTTTCTGTCAGGGTGTGTCTGTTAGGTGCATGTGACTTTTCAAAACTGAGCTTTTGTTCATTTCTTTTCAAGCTGGAAGTCTTGTGAAACTGTATTATAGTGGTGTTGGCATCTTGCAAAGCAATGTAAAGCAATCTTACTTTTTCTGACACCCCCACCACCCATATTTCTGCAGCAATATGAATCTATCTCTCAGGGTTATTTACATTTTTCTGCAGTTACAAGTTCAGCTGACCTGGAAAAATCTATGCCTCCACTTTCCAGAACACCTCATGTGCTAACAACAACTATGGGTAATAGTAATGCATTAGCTTTTCAGTTAAATCACTTGTGGTGTTTTCATAGCAATTTTGGAAATCCTGTTTATCCCAGATATTTTGGTCATCTGCTCTACTTGTCTTCCATTTGAGTCATGATCATCAGTGTAGACAAAGTACCCTTTTCACATGAGCCAAGACAGCTCGTGCTTACTGCTGAGAAACTCACCTAACAGTGTTTCTGATCTTACATTTGCCTCTCAAAAAGCTACTAGAGCTATTTTGAGATATACCTAAATGAAATAAGGTTTTTTTTAATAATAATAATAGTAATAATAGTAATAATGCCTAAAGCTTAATAAGAATCTTAAAATTACTTGGTTTTTTCTTTCAAGTTCGATTGTTATACTCTCAGATATACACAGATTTATATATTCTATATTGTTTATTCCAGCGTAGTTTCTTTCTTACTACTTCTTACTGTTCAGTGATTTTTTTTTTACTTTATTTTACCCTTGTCTTGTATATGCATATATGTACACAGATTATATGACATTAAAATTCACTAACAAAATCTTGACAGAAAACAAAGCAATGAAGAGAATTAAGAAACTCTTTTTTACTGAAATATTTTTGCAGTGTACTTCAGTTTTGCACATGATATTTTTTCTGCCTTTTTTGGAGTGCTTTATGCTTACAGCTATAGCGGTAGAAGTTCTTTCATATTTCTATATTCTGAATTGCTTTAAACTACATGGGCCGTGCTATCTAAAGTAATATTAGCTTTGGTTGGCTGACACTTCAGTTTCAGTTTTCATTTTAACCACTAGCCTCAGCTCCCACTGTTCCATTGTCAAGGTAAGGCATGTTATTGTTATCTCTGCATTGCAAATTAGGTATGTTATAACCTATAATATTTTTTATTTGTTCTTATAAAATGAAAAAAGCTTTGTGTAGAATTCGTAATCGTGGATACTGTGACCTGTTTTTTTTATAGCTTTCAGTGGTATTCAGCCTGTTCTTTCAAGCCCTGTGACACCTAGTAAGCCTGAAATAGCAGATGCTGAACCAGGTACAATAATCTCTACCTAGTTCTTAATTCAGTATCTCAAACCATGCTCTAAAACTCACTGAAATGAGCGCACTGGTAATCTTCACTTTCAGTGCACATTTGGATTAGACCCTAATACCTGAATTTTGAATTTAGATTGCTGTTAATGGTTGAAATTGGTGCTTTCTCACACTTAAAGTGCAACTCATAGTCATGTGGTTCTCCTTCAGTATTTTGGAAAAAAAAAAGCCACATAGATAATGGAGAAAACAGTATTTATTGTCCAGTTGTGCTGATGAAAATACCGTGACGTATGCTGTAGGCTGCATTCTATTACTGCAGCCTTGTTAAAAATACTAAGGAAAGTATATCCTTAATGGCCTGACATTGGTTAACAGTCACAGACACTTGATGCTTTCGGACTGAAACCATAGTTGGATCAGGTTTCAGCTTTCTACTCCAAATTTTATATGGTTTTAATATCTGACTAATTGATTGTTCAACATGTCGTCTTCATTAAATTCCTACATTTTACAGCATGCCATTTTCCTTAAGTAATGGGCCAAACCTCAAAATGTTCAGATGTTCAACTTAAAATCTTTCTTGGCAGTGGTTGAGATCCAGACCAGTTGCAATGAAGGCAGGAGGAAATGAACATTCAGAATTTCTGCACATCACAAATGCGATGATTTATAGTCACTGAAGCTTTGTGCGGTTCAAAAGACTGAATTTCTCTCTAATGCATACTAAACTGATAAGTGTCCAAGCATTAGTGAAATATTTGTTGTTCTTGTAAAAACAAATTTGTTTTTGCTTATGAAAGAAGAGTTTCTTCCTTTAGCTCTTTGCTCTTTTGTGACTGTCACCATTTCTTCCAACAGCAACAAGTGAATCCATTCTGGAATATTTCACATCTAAAACTCGTCCTTTTCAATGGCCAAGGGTAACATTAGGTAATGTTGTTTTCACCTAGTGAAAAACTCTGTGTTTGTTTTGAGCACTTCATCCCATATGAATGCGTTTCTTCCAGCATATCATTTCACATGCATAATCGCTATTCTTTTTCCTGGTTGTAGAGTCTTGTTCTTCCATTGTCATTAGACTGATTCTTTTTGATATGTCTCTGTATGCGAACATAGTTAAGGATGGTTTTACCATCCTCAGAGAAGTAAAACTTGCCTCTTGCATGAAAAATTCCATCATCTTTTTATTAGAGTGCTCTATCTCATTCACTCCCGTGCACATGCATGTGTTGTCTTTGTCTCTGATATGTAGAGCTTTCATAGTGGAAATTTTAATTGCTTTGGAGACAGAGAATCTATTTCTGATCTAGGCCCAGCATTTCAGTATCCTCTCCATTCCACACTTTAAACTCTGATTTCATCAGATGGCTTTGACATTCCATACTAAGTTGTCTTTTCTTCAATATAAACTTGTGGCATGTGCTGTTTGTTGTGGGAAAACCTTGTTAAACAATTTTTGATTGCAAACTGAGCTCTTTCTTTCAGCTCCAAAAGAAATACCACTTATTCCTTCTAAACTGAAACCATCTGCTACCCCAGAAGTACAGCACGTGAAACCTGGTAATTGTGCATTTTTATAAGTCAGTATGCAGAGACACATTCCGTAAAAATATCTAAGCAAAACTTCCAAAAAAGAACAGGAACTATGCAATACATGAGCATCTTGAATAACTCATTCTAACATCAGTCATTTGATGTTGCCTAACAAAAGGAATGAGAGTTAAGCTTACCAGTTTTACACATTTGGGTTCGGTGATGAAAATATAAACAAGTTCTCTAGTTTTTTAATCTTTTTCAAGAACTGGAAGGGAAAAAACTTCTAGGTGGCACAGAGTTTTTTTTATATCCCTTGTATGAACAATATATATGATTATTACTTCTGTAATCTCTTTTGCGAGTCCCCATCTCCCACTTTCACACAGACATACTATGGCAAAGATGGCATCTTTGCTAGTCACAGCAGTTTGTTGATTGAAAGTAAAGTACTACTCAATATCAGTAAGTCCTCCCGCAGGAAACTGAGTGGAAAGGATTGCCATTTTAGTGAAAGTAGAGAGCTTTCTCAAAGTAGAAGGGGAAACTTTCATATACACGTGAGATTCATTCTTTGACCATGGGAACATCATCATCATGTCGTGTCTTTTTTCCTTTTTTACTTGTTGATCAAAAAGTAGATCTCTGTACTCATTTTCTTCTGATTTGAGATTAAGGGAGATGAATCTCCTTTCGTGATTCAGAATGTGGACCAATAAATGTTATAGTGTGCATTACTAGAGCCCTAAAATGTTTCTGTTCTCATATCTTGTAAACAGACAGGTCAGTAAAAAGCAGGAGTTGCCTTTGACATCTTATACGTGTCTTATAATCAACCACAGGCTGTGATTTAAGATTTTCGGCAAGATTTTGGCATTTAGAAGTCTCCTCTTTGGTATAGATTCTCTGGTATTTGTTATGGACTGCAATCTTTTCTTCAGTCAAAGCTTTCATCTGTCCTTTCTCACTCTTCTCCCATAATGTCAAAGAAATGTGTTTGTTGATTGAATCAAACAATGGATTAAAAATGTCCGGAGAACATAAATATGGGGAAGGAGCCTTATAAGTAGACTCTCACATGTAGCCACAAGCACACAGTGTGTACTTTCACAGGAAACAAAACTAAAAGGAATGTAGGGTGTTATGCTTAAGAGTAGGACTTAGTTGCATGCTTATTTTATCTATTTAAAAAAACAAAACAATACAAACCAAAACCAAACAAGCCCCCTGAACTATTGGAATGATAACACTTTTGGCTTACTGCCAATACATCTACTGATCTGTTCTATTACACTTGAATTTTTCTTTTCTAGCCCCTAAACCACCACTTTTGGAGCCTAAAACTTCTCAGACTGTTGAACAACCAAAAGCAACGCTAGGTAATACATGTTTCGTAGCTGTTGGTCACTCTTCTTTGCAGTCCATGCCACAGTTTGTACTCTGTTATTTTATCTCATAGCTTTTACTGTATTGAATTCATTTCTCTGAGAGAGGAAAAAAATTAGGAAATAAGCATCCAGAAATATGTTTTTCTAAACTTAGGAGAAAAAGAATTGATATTTTTTCACATAGTTTTCCTAGTTTTATAGTACAGTAAAATTTTGGGGATTGGAATTGTCTTCCATTTTGTTGGGAGTTTTTCTACACCAACACACTTTACCCACAGAAAATCATCAGAAACCCTTTGGATATACTATTGAAAGGCCAAGTGCAAGGTTAGTATTGTGGGCGTTAATCCTAGAACTCTCAGTGAAGAATTCCTGTGGCACTGGATGGACATGTTAATTCTACTGTTCTTTTTTGAATCCATCTGAATGTCACTTCGGCTTGAAAAAACACTTCTCAGTCACTTCATATGTCTTATTCTACTCTGTTTTTTCTATAAATGTCATATGCTTTTCTACTATGTCTATTGCTATGAAACTTTTTCTTGGAGAGCAGTCTCACAGCACTGCTTTATAAAAATTAACAAAATTACTGACTATACTACCTGAAACTCACCTTAAGCTTTATCTGATGCCAGATTAACAATCCTGTTTAGCTAATTAGTTTCAGACCGTGCATGTTCAGGGGAAATGGGGTTTCTAGGACTGGTTGCTCTTAATTGTTACCGTTTAGATTATGCTACCTCTATTTTATTAAGAGAATTCAATGACTGCAGTTATGAAGCAATTCCCTTTTTATTATTGTTTCAATGTTTTTCCAGCTTCCTACAAGTAATTTCTTTACAGTGTTGAAAATTGAGGGCATTTTTGCATATTTTCTCTACATATGTCTTTTGATGGCTTAAAATCAGCCTGGAGTTCAAAATGATAAACAGCATTATTATTTTACCTCTTAGGTAACTTGCAAAAATTAATTTGCTAACTTAACAGAAAGAACATTTTGATGTGATTGTAAGCTACCATTGCATATTTTAAATTTGCTTACTGACTTTTACTGTGAAGAACAAGTAGGGATTTTGCTGGGGTAGTGGAGACTTGGAAGCCTTGAGAAGCCTTCTTAGCAAATCTGATTTTGCCATTTACTTTTGTTCCAAGTAGCCATTCAATGCTTCGTTTCAGACTTGAAGAATGTGATTTTTATGTGATATAGTAGAAGTGATAATCTTATAATCCAGTATATTTCTTTCAGCTCCTAAAGAAGCAAAACTCACACCTTCTGCACCTAAACCTAGACCATCTGCCAGACCCAAAAAGCCACGAACTAAACCTGGTAACTAACTTCCATAGCAAACATTTTTTATAATGTATCACTTAAGTAGTATACTTTAGCTTAAATTTATTCTATGTGAAGCTCAGTACTTAATCATCAGAAAGATGTGCACTGAGGGGAACTGTGCTCTTTGAAGAATATTAGTTTTGTATTGAACAAAAAAAATTTGAAGCAAAGCAAGGAAACTTTTAACTTTTATGTCCTAAATCACCAAGTCACATGGCCTGGCCTTGAAATAAATTGTTTTCCTGCTTTTCATTTCAAAATAACAAGTTTTCCAACTTAGTTCAGCACAAGGTCCAGAAAATGCGAATTCTCATGCTTTGCTGGTGGTTATAGCATCTTACTGAGAACCATAGGATTTGTATTGATTCAGTGATCATGAATGCATCAGGACTTACCTAAAATGGTGGAAATGAGTGAAATTCTTCCCTGGAATTTAGTAAAGCCATATTTTATGATGGCAAATGAAATTGCACCTTCACACCAGGGTTAAATTTGGTCTATGATGTATGTTGGAGAATAGAAGGCACCTGGCATTTTCTGGAGCTGAAGAATAAGTGAATACAGTTGCAAAAATATTACTAGTGTCACATGATTTATAATGAAGTTGGAAAGCTTGAAATTGCATAATTTTATATTGTAAGAATATATTACTTAATCCTGGAAGAGATCAGGCAATATTATTAAATTATTTCCAGATTCTCTGTGAATTATTTTTTTACTCATAAAAGGAATTAGTCTCTTCGGACCAAGTAATTCTTTGTGAAATTTGTTAACTAAATGGTATTTATGACTTTGAACTGTCTCAAATTAGAATACATAATTAGTTTTTCATGGTGATTACAGCTCCTACATTTTTAGTGTAGGAAATCCAGTATTGTATTACTAGAATAATTACTTTTGTCTCTGCTGTACATGCCCATATCTGAATATATATCTGAATCCTGCATGGTTTTTTTGAAATGACAGAGGAAAAAACCCAACTCATTTGGAAACTGTTGCATAAAATTGTTTTACACCGTTGGACTGCCAAGATCAACACTGTGTATAGCTGTTTCCACAATGGATGGCTATGTAGCAAGTTTCTGTATCACTACAAAGAAGGCGGCATGATTCTGTGTTTAGACACATGCCTCTTATTTGTCCTTTTTCTCTTAGTGGTTTCACTGATCAATCAGATGGAATCCTAAGAAACGCTTTTTAATCATAGTTAAGCTTGTAGTGATCTTCCTGTAAGTAGGTATTTGTGAATTTAGCATTTGTTCTGATGGGACAAATAATGATATTCTTGTCCAGAAATCATTATTTGAGGGATAAAACATGCAGTGCATGGGGATAACCTGGCTTTTGGGTGGGTGGCAAAACGGACAAAAAGCAGGATCTCCTCTGTATTCCAGCATCACTTGGAAGTTCAGCTTAAATTAGAACTTCGTCATGACATTTCACCTTTCCTTAACAGTGAATCAGAATAATGAAGAATATGTGCCAAATTCATACTTGCTCACTGACTTACTAATAACCCATTTCAGGTCAAACAGAATTCCTGAAGGTTAATTTTGGCTCTCATTCTTAATAAGACTTTTGTACTGTTCTGGTAAAGTATTTGTCTTTTTGCTGTGGAGCAAGAAACTTCATTTTTTAAAAAACAGATAAACAATTTTCAGTTTTTCCAACCAACCGACTGTACATTCTAGTGAAAGTTTGTGGCTTCATTCTTCTTGATATTTGCATAATTGAATCCATTGCTTGCATGAAAAAACAGTTCTTGTTGCCAATGTGATCGTGCCCAACCATTGTGCTCACTTGTATTATTTTTAGCATTAATTTCTCTATCTAAACATACTAAGTTTCCCTTTTTTCAGGAAAGGAAATTATAATGTATTTTCTACCATGCATCCAACTGCACTGCAACTTTTTCTTTCCAGAAAAGTGCAAGAATAGTTCTTTATATTGAGTCCCCGTTGAGTCCCTGTAGATGCGTTATAAATTTGCACTCTCTTGTGCTTCTGGTACAAAATGTTGGTTCTTCATATGTGTCCATGCATTTCCACTTGTGTGGTGTGAGACTTTCACAAGAGAACTGCAGAATTTACCCGTTGTAGAGGAGGTTCTCAACCGCCTCGTTAAGACACAGTAATGTTAGATAGTTTGATGCATACATGTAGTTGTTCCTTTTACAGTCTTTTCTCACTTATGAGAACTATGAGAGTCCTGGGAGGACTTCTAAACTATCAAAACACTGATAACTTGGCACATGTCTGTCTTACTATTTTCTGACCTCAAAGTCTCAAGTTGCCTGGCTGTTCAGTGGTTACAACCCAATAATCTGATAAATTGTTCAATAATATCAAGAGTAACTTTTATGTCAGAGTCCTCTTGTATTGTCTGGGAGTTTTATTTAGATGCTGTCCTTTCAGAAATGTCAGAGGAAATGAAAGGCATTTTGTTTCCTCCCAATCTTACTCTCCTCTCATCATCATTCTGAGAAATCTATCTCCCTGCTTAGCCTTTTCTTTTTACCTAGTAGAGTCTACATGAAATGTGAATTATAGATCTATTAATGAACTTTTTAAAATAGGCTGAGAAGAACTCATTAGTGGAGACTTTCAGAATCTCTTTAGGATTGGGAGGAGGATGGCATTGTTGAATTTTATGTTTGAAAAAACAAAGAAATGAAAAAGAAAAACAGTTCTGAGTGATTTAAGATTCATCATAAGAACACGGTACAATGAATATATGGCCCCAGGTTAGTTCTGGAAGAATGTACTAAGTGCCTAACTTGTAGGTTAGTATGCTTCTGACTGGATTTCCCTGCTTGGATTTAGAGCAAAGTACAGTGCTGAGGCACAGATACGCTATGCAGTACTCAGTGCTGCCAGGTGTAGAAAAGTAGTCTCCAGTTGTTAAATAGATAAGAATTCCCTTCTGATCTTTCTCATGACAGAGCAGTACTTCTACATGTGGCAGTTCAGAGAAGAACTTGGCAAAGAACAAAGAGATCCTACTAGTGAATGATTTTCCATAGTTGTTTCTGTGTATGCTCATTCTTCACCTTTTGACCCCAACCAGTACCAGAGCCCTGTGGGGTTGGGAGCAAGAACTGATTGCACTGGCTGATTTGAATTTTTTCTTTTTTTTTTTTTTTTTTTTTTAAAGTATGGTGCTTTCACTTCACATGAGTCACTTCACACGTTATCATTTTCGATGACTTGGCTTTAAAGAGGATTGTCTTGAGGAGAGATACACCTACCCAGCGAACGTTACTTTAGAGATCCCATTCCCAGGGAAAATAGGAAAACTTCATAGTTGCCCTCTGTCAGAAATTTTTTCCAACTTTTCAGTTCCCAGTAAAGTTTCTCCTTCCAAATCAAAAGTCTTTTTGTATCCAGAATAGCCTATGGCAATGCTGGGTAATTGCTATGTCCTTTCACAGAATCACAGAATGGTTGAGGTTGGAAGGCACCTCTGCAGTTCATCTGGTCCAACCCCCTGCTCAGGCAGGGCTGCCTAGAGCCAGTTGACCAGGACCATGTCCAGACAGTTTTTAATGTCACCAGGGATTGAGACCCCATGACCTCTCCGGGCAATCGGTTTACTTAATTGCCCAAATTATTTGTCCTAAAGACATTTTGGAGTATTTTGCTTTCTTAGAGTAGTTGCAATGGTATCAAATGCACAGGGTAGTTACTGTTGCGTAAGAACATTCAGTAAATTTATTACTTAGTGTTTCCATTTGAATAGTGGGGAGGAGGTGGATTTTAATTGGGAAGCAAGAGCAGTTGAGCCGTACCAGACACTGAGAAATAGATATAGATGCACCTGTATTTCTCTCAAGAAAATTCTCTTTATTCCAGCAGCAACCATTCCGGTTTCAGTCACTACTAAGAGTCCCTACACATATGAACGTCCAAAGACTGCAGAGGGTAATGATTACAAGTCATCTTTAGTCATTCTTCTTTACATTGTTCTGATAGTATGTGCAGTTGAAAACACTGTTTGCTGTAGGCTTCTTGCTTATTCATATGTGGTCCAAACCCAACAAATGGAAATATAGTCTTGGTGCTTTATTATTTCTCCATGTTTCTACCATGGAAATATTATCTTCTAAAAGACAGGGTATTAATTCAAAGGTATCTGGTTAGAAGCCTCAATAACGTTAGAAAAAGAAAGAATAAGAATTATTGCAATAATAAAGACTTTATGAAATATATGCAATCTAAAAATCACATTTAAAACTACAAACTGCTGAATAATTTCTGCAGAAGGGGGAGTTCTTTGTTGCACATAACTGAGCATTGCTTGATAATGTCTCAAATTTATGGGAAAATATTACATCTTTTCAAGTAATCCATGGAAACTTGTGTTCAATTTAAGAAAAAAAAAGTAATTCTAGTTTTAGGGAGGGGGAAAATTTATATAAAGTAATAATGATAATTACCTTTTTTGGGTGGAAATATATATTTAGTGATGTGTTTAATAAATAAGTTTTTAATGTAGACTAGGAACAAAAGTGTCCTTTGCAGTGTGCCTTGAAATGTTATATCTAATTCAAAGAAAGATTTGAGTCACTGTTTGCATTTACTCTGCAGATTTTATTCTGAGAAGCATATTAAGATGTTTTTAAATGTATAGCTTTGCTCTTTAAAACCTGGATGAACCCAACCACATATATAATACTTTACTGGATGAGGATGATGTCTTAGATAATTTGATTAAATAGAATCAATTTGTTTTGGGTAATTACCAACAACTCAGTTAGATTCACTGTTTCCAACTGCAATAAATTCTGCTTCATAAAGTACGCTCAAAGCTCTTCTAATGACCTTGATTTGCCAAGGTCAGCATTGGATAACAATGTTTTCTTAACATTGTTTCTTAGCTTTCTTTTCTTTGGATTATGGCTAAACTCTTAGAAGCTAATTTTGCTGCAGAACGTCCAACTCTTTGATTATCCCTTTCTTCAAAGGCTCTGTCTGCTTGTTTTGCCCATACCCAACAAAGGTTCATACATTAAACACATAGCACCATTTTTTCTGTGTTTATTCATTGATACAAACTGAAGGTATTTTCCTAGACTTTATTTCTTCATTGCTGAATGTGAATGTGATTCTTCTATGGGACACCATTTACTTTCAGCTTAAATACTGTTTTTTACAAACCAAGTTTTTTCCACTATCCAGAATCCACATATCTGAAGCCCAAATCATCTGCTAAGACTGAAACACCTCAAGCTAAATCTAATGGGGCGCTTCTTTTGAAATTGTGTACTTTGAGGCTTGCTATTAGTGCAGAAAGTAAAAAACTTTAAAACTTCAATGTTTTTTTCCTGGAGGAGGAGAGAAAGAACTGTTCATTATTTTGGGATAATATTTAGACAAAGAAAAACCAAATTGCTTCAGAAAACAATTTGTGGATCTAACAAAGAATTTAATTTTATTCTGAATATCTGAAGTTGGTTTTTTTCTTTTTAAGAACTCACTGATTTTTCAAAGGTGGCCTGAAAATAGAAATTAGTGTTTTATTGAAAAAGATTTTTAATTTGAATTCTGAAGGTAATTGATGAACTTGAATAACGGCAAAGTCATTGCAAACCAGGGATATGCAGTGAGCACATTAGAAACATTAGTAACTAATTTAAGTTTTCTATGCAGTATCTGGCCATTCTTGACAGAAAGGAGTTAATGCTGGTTGTTTGGGCTTTTTATCCTCATTTGCAGCATTATTAATACTGGGCTGTGTTATATTGTGAATGTATAGTGAAGTGAGTATAGGTTATAGAAAAGGCTCTATCTTTAGGTGTGTATGTCTGTATGTTATATGTTACTTCAGTTTTCACTGCCTTGAGAGGTGAGAAATTATCAATTAATATTATTTTAATATATTTTCTGTACTACTAGGAAATTTTTGTAGATTCTGCCATTTCATAACTCAGGATTATGATTTTGTTTTTTTCCTTTTTTTTCCCCCAATTTGGCATAGCTTGTGATGAGGAAAAGGAGATGATATATTGCTTTTGTGATCCAAATTATATGAGGATATAATGAGAAAAAATTAAGAGGCTATATCAAAATACATTCTTTTAGGTAGTTCTATAGCTGTACCAATAGCAACCTTTTAGTCCTCTGCTTGACTGTTCACTTTAGAGAAAAAAATCAACTGTTTTGTCATAGTCAGCATGCCACTTTCAAGTAGTAGCAGGCTTCAGTTTGGGGATACCTGACATTTCTGTAGATCGAGTCCCTTGCTGTCTCTGAGTTAAGCTGTGTGATCTTTTCCCTTGCTTGTTCTAGGATTTACTGATTTCTATTAACATATTTTTTCTTCCATTTCCATCAAGTGGCTGCAATTATATTTTTCTTATTGAACCTGTGTTATTAGGAAGTTTAATTGTCCATCATTTTAAAAAAAAAAGTTAATTTCAAGATCCATATTACTGTGGTGTGGTATTAGCACCTCCTTTTATACTTACCAGTGGAGTAATTTTAAGGTTTTTGGAGTAAGTTTCATAGTTGTCTTGTCCTGCTGTTTCTGTTGCAGTCTTGGAACCTATTACACTTAGAATTGAACCATCAAGGGCAACGATAGGTAATGATATTTCCTTGGCAAGCTGTCGTGTTTGCTTTTTTCGTTACAGAAAGCATCACTGAAGTCAATCACCTTATGCTTTAGGATTGTTTCATTAAACTTCATTTTTCTTCTAGGTAATTCTCTTGCTGGGCATTCATGACAGTTGGGCATATTGCTCTCTTCACAGTTGGAATGTCTCCTTTTCTTTTATGAAAATGATGCTGGCAGCTCTGAATCACCTTTCTTGTAATATATTGCTTGTCTGTGCTTGTCCCAGCAATTACTAAAATTGCACTCTCTTGCTTAGATTGTTGTAAACACACGGAGAATATTACCTGACTTTCTTTTCTACTTAGTATAAAGATGGTTTTTTTCTCTGTTGCAGGTGTGAGGTTTCTGTGTTTGTGTATTCAGCTTGATATCAGACACTAACTGCAGTGCAAGTGAACCAACTTATTACCCATATTTTCTCTTCCAGCTCCAAAGGAGACTCAGCGTATTCCTTCTAAACCTAAAACTTCACCCAAACCTCATATCCCACAAGCCAAAGATGGTAAACTGCTTTGCGTGATTATTTCTAATACAGTTTGTTTTGTATTGAAACGTATTTCTTAGCAGCTGTTTAGTTATCTGGGCCAGCTAAAACATCATGGGGTTCTGTTCTGCTGTGTGTTCAGTAGGTTATTTGCAGTTTTCAGGAGTGGTAACACTTGGTAGGTATTTTTCATCATGCAAAAGAATAAATCTCTGATACTTCATGGCAGCAGGATGAGAATATTGTTGTTGAACTCAAATTACAGTGGTAACTAAAGCAAATACCTAGCAAGTAATGTATTATGGCTACTTAGGTGGCACAATTCTTTCCCACACTGCTTTGCATTGTTAGAATAAATATGTTTCCCTTTTACGTCACAGTTACTTAATTTAATGACATTATTATTTTCTGCATAAAAGAGCAACTTACCCAGTGCATAGTTTTTTTAAAAAAAATTAATATTTATTAGCATTAATGATAATTTATGCCATATTCCAACATACTGGATACTTATACTATGTCATTAAACATGAGTGCAGTTGAATTCAGTGGTAGGCAGAAAAAATTACTCTCTGTCCTCTGTTATCCAGTTGATAAAATCAACAGAAAATTACAAGGGTATCAAATATCAGCATATGTTATATTTTGGTAAATGTGAAAAATTTAATTAATACCTTGAAATTGTATACATAGAGCAATATTTTTGAAAGCTGATGTTATCTATTAAATATGATTTCCTCCAATCAAAATCTTTGTTCTTTTATAATTTTTTAACCATGGCAGCTGATTGTAAAACATTGTTTCCAAACTACACGCTAAAATGCAACTTCTCATAAACTCAGTTTTTACCTCTGTAGCCATTTTTCATTATGATGGTAGTCTTGGCCTTCTCAAAAAATGGTTTTGTCACACAAATGTTACAAGTTTGTACTATTTTGTGTTTAAAAAAAAAAAAGTTACTGTTTCTTCAAGAATCTATAATATACAGAACACTTTTTACAGCATCATCCACTTATCTTGTGACTGTCCTAAAAGATACAAAGAAATTTTTTCTTATTTTCACCCATACAGAAGAACTAACACAGAGAGGGATACCATTTCTGTTGTGCCTCCGTTTCTAATGTGGGAAATGCAAGAAAATAGCTTTAATTTTGCATCCTTATGCCCTTTCAACACCCAGTTTTATTTTAGGTCCATACCAGTTTAGAGGTGAAGTGTGTGATCATGCAGTTCAATACACCATAATGCTTTTTAATAATATAAGCATCCAGAAATCAAGCAAGTGGTCTCTGATTCCTATTGTGTATATAAACTGCATTTGAAATACACTGCAAAGGGAAGACATTTATGTCCCTAAAAAGCCATTTTCTGAATAAAGGAGGGATAGATATTTGGATATCTCATTGAAGCACATAGGAGAACTAAGCTTACATTAGGTTTCAGCTTACACTGCTTTCTCTCTTTCTCAAAGTCTTCATTTAATATAACAGTTTTTATATGGGGCGGTATACATAGTATATAATTCAAAATACAGTCACTAGACAAGTAATACTAATTGTAAGTGGAATTATTATCTTCAATTTTCATAACAGGTTTTATGTTTTGTTTCTGATACAGTCCTGGAATCTGTAACACTTACAACTGATCAACTAAAACCAACAATAGGTAACAGTTTTACCTACAGGGACCATCACGCTTAGCTTTTTTCTCAGTATACACCAAGCATCACAAGTACATCTTCATTGTAGTCCACTGTCATAATTTTTTACTGTTAAATTTAGTACTTCTGTAAGGGGGGTTTGTGATTTTACACTAACAATTCATAATCATCTTGTTTGGTTTTTCTCACACAAATATGTTCTGTAAAGTGAATGGAAGCACCACAGTCTGCCTTTAACTACATGTGTCTATACTCAGTTTCTGTTATGTGCTGCTTCATCTTTTCTACTAGTCCATCCAGACTGGTCTTGTTTTATGTTATCCTGTTACAGAGGTTCTCCATCGGCACTATTTCTGTGCGTAGCAGACATTCATACTTCTCCATTACTCATACAAGCTTTTTATGTTTCCACAGGGTCCCAAAGGCATGTGTTCTTTTTTAATATTACGCCTTCTGTCAGCTTCAGTTCTTGAAAGATTTTAATAGTTGCATTTTTTTAATTTCAGTTCCAAAAGAAACACAGCGTGTTCCCTCCAAACCTAGAACATCACCAAGCTCAGAAGTGTCACAAACCAAACCTGGTAAGTACATTGTTTCGTTATCTTGTCATACTGGTATGTGTGTCTTATGAATTCTACTGTGATCGGTGGAGCTTCAGATTTATATATATCCCTTGGGCGGATATGTTGGAGCAGTCCTTGAGGGATAAAATCTAGTATCACATGTCATGATGGGGAATTTATAAGCAACCTGATAAGTTTAAAATCTCCATCTTCAGTTCTTTTTTTACATTTTAAGTCACCGCAACAGCAGGGATTTTCTGTGCAGTTGTCAGTGGAAATAGGCCTTTTCTGTGTGAATTTTCTTTGGTTTTGGGAAAGCAAAGGTGAAAAGGAGGGGTGTCATTGCAAACAGGAAGGGTGTTTCTCTGTATTTCTCAAATTGTGTACTTGTTTTTTCTTTCCCAGGCACAATCATTTGTTTATACTTTTCAGTTCACTTATGCACATCTGTTATGTTGTTCAGAGATTTAAGAATGTGTACTACTTTCTATTAATGTAGTTTACACAGTTTGGTTTAGAGCAATATACAACCCTGGGCTAATGAAGGATAGAGGAAGAAAGTTATACAACTCACACTAGCAATTGCATGGGGTACTGGGGCAGGCTCACCCCGGCCAGCAACTAAGCACTCACTAGCCACTTCCTCATCCCACCCCGCAGTGGGTTGGGGGAGAGAATCAGAAGAGCGAAAGAGAGAAAAAAATTCAAGATAAAGATAGTTTAACAAGTGAAGGGTAAAAAGAGGGGAAAAAAACAAGTGATACAAAGGCAACTGCTCACCACATCCCACTAGCAGACCGATGCCAGTCTAGGAGCAATGGGTCCTTTAGAAAGACTGGCCCCCAGTTTTGTTGCTAAGCATGACATTATATAAGGTGGAATATCCCTTTGGTCAATTTGGTTCAGCTGTCCTGGCTGTGTGCCCTCTTAGCATCTTGCCCACCTCCAGCCTACTTGCTTGGGGGCAGAATGAAAACAAAGTCCTCCTTGATGCTGTAAAAAGCACTATTCAGCAATAGCTAAAACATCGGTGTGTTATCTACACTGTCCTGGCCACAAATCTAAAACAGAGTACCACAGGGGCTACTGTGAAGAAAATAAACTCCATCCTAGCCAGACTCAGTATGGGTATCTAAGGTATATGCAGTATTAGATGGTGGTGCTGGAGAAATGGGAAGAAAGATGACAACTAAGGTTCCTTTTTCCCTCAGTAAGTCTGCATCTATTGTTTGAATGAAAACCTTGAAATAAGTCTGGAAAGTATACAAAGTTGAAAGTTTCTTTGTAGGTTATTACAAAAGCTTCAGATTTATATTTGGGCTCCATTCTGTATTAGAGGTATTGCCTTCAACTGTAGGCAATTCTGAGCAGCATAATACTCTGGCATGTATTGAGTTTCAAGAAGGAGGAACCATCTGTCATTGGCTGAAGCAGGGATGGTGTGACCATTGTGGAGGTAGTGATTGTAATGTTTTGATTGTTCTCAGTAATACTTCTTTTTGTTTTTTATTGCACTAATGCAGTTCTGGAACCAATTACTTTTAGAACTGAGAAACCGAAGTCAACAGTAGGTAATGATACTTTCTTACTTGAATCGGCATGTTGTCTTTTCTCTTCAACTCAAATCATTAAGAGTAGACGTGCAAAATGTCGTCGCCTTTCTTTCTATGTGCCTTAATAGTTTAACAGTCAAGATTGTCTGTATATTCCTTATTTTCTACAAAACAATTGAGGAGGATGCTTGTGCCTTTCAAGTTGTTATACAATAGGGCAATTTCCTTCAACATTTAATGATAAGAGGCAGAGGGCAGATCAGAACAGGATCCTAACTTACATGTTCTGAGTCATACTGTAGAGATGGCACTGTCCTAGTTAGTCATACAGTTTGGGTGAGCAGAGCTGCATGCTGCAATTTTTCTTTCTCTGCTTCCCTTCCCCTCCAGTTCTACTAAATGAAATTCGGTCCTTCATAGAGGTATTGAAAAATAATTCTGTTTCACTCAAACCTCAATTCCACTGTCAGAACAGAATCACTTCAGTGATCTTTGGGTCATGGGGTTCCTCGAAGGATCCATTTGACTAAGACATTCTTATCATTTGAATCTGGTACTGCGAATAATTCCAATACAACCTCCATTACAGAGCAGTGGTATTTGTATTTGAAGCTATTTATTTTGTTTTCTTCTTCTTTTGCTTTTTAAGTCCTCTTCTTAAATAGAACCAGTAATTCTGTCCCATGCTTAGTTGATGATACGTCACAGAAGATCATTTCTTTTCTCTAGAGCCTGATTTTATTCAAAAAACACTTCTCTTCTGCATCACTTCCATAGAATATCTTTTGGTTCAAATCTTTGCTCTGGTTTTGTTGACTTTTATGGGTGATAGTGAACACTGATACCTCAGGAAATTTTAGTATGGTGTAACCCAGTTTCTTTCTTTCAGGTCCTAAAGACACACGTCATGGGCCTTCCAAACCTAAAACTTCACCCAGTCCACGTGTTCCTCCAACTAGAGCAAGTAAGCTTATCAATATATTTTCCCTTTAGTGCATGAAAGTTTTATCAGTTTGAAAATTGTCGAAATTGCTAACACATCTAAAGGTACACAGATACTTATTGAATAGGCTGTTTTACTGTCATAATCAAATTTTGCTATATAGCTGTCATGGAATGGGGTAATCAGCTAGGTATTTATAGATGTCAATAAGTTGTATACTTGTGCGAATGTGGCTTGAGCCCTTGCACATAGGAAAATTTGTGTCTTAATTTCCATAGAATGTGACAGAGGTATTTGTATTTTCTAGTTACTCGTTTACAAATGTAAAATTACAGTACTTTCCTGTTCCAAGAACTTTGGATATAGTTCTGTCCATTTGAAAATTAGCGGTAAACTTCCACATTTCTTCTGCTTTGACTGCTTTGCTGGAGATTTTTTTTTTTAATGGAAAGTTGATTTAAATGAGCAGCAGGTTTTTTGAATATGAAACACTTGAGAAGTGTAACTAGGGGAGCTGTTAGAACTAGAGCAATTTACTCTGTAGAAAGCTCTATTTGATAGAGCTGAGAGGAGTGGAGAGTGAATCCAACACTGCATTGTAACAGTCACTTTGTCTTTAGTCTCTGCACTAACATAATATTGATTGCATTGACAGGAGACCTCTGTGATTGTTTTCAAATGGAAGAAGTACTTCCTAAAAAATTTCTTTGCAGAAAATTAATCTCCTGTCAGGAAAATCAAAAGACTTGTGCTGAATCATCCTCCTCAATAACATGTTCAAAACTTCGCGTATCTTCACAGGTCCAAAAGAAAGTCGGCGAGTCTCTTCTAGGCCCCAAGCATCACCAAGTCCAGATGTACCACACACAAAACCTGGTAAATACATTGTTATTTTGTTCTGCTTAAATATTCAGGGTTTCTTTTGGGTTGTCGTTCCTCAATGAATCAAGTGTTGATTAACATCTCTTCATATTACAAACAAATAGATTTTCTAACGATCATTAAATACATGTTTAAAGGAAGCTAGAGCTGATCTGTATTTTTAATGGTTGAGTTTTGATGAGTTGTATATGGTTTTCAGTCACATGACAGCTGTCCCTGATGAATAATCTGCCAAGCAGGGTACACACCATACAAACATTGTAAGAATGTCTGGAAAGACATTGCAACTCTTCTGTGCCTATCAAAAGGTGCTTAGAGAAAAACATATTTGAGGGCCTTCATGTATGACTCTAAATATCTGTAACTCAAGCCACTCATGTGTTTGTGCGTCCTGGTAATGGAATTTGATCCTTAAAATATATATTTAATAGGGACTTACATACTAGTGAACTGCCAAACCTCTGTAACTCCTGATGGTTCTGAAAACATCAGTTGAACATTCCTTTTGAGTGTGTATTTGTGTATTTCACTAATTCCACCAATAATAATTTAAAAACCAACAAACAAATTTAAGTGTGTGTTCCAATTTGAAAATAAATCAGTCATGTAAAAGGGAGTATTTTTACCCTTTTGCTTGTACTTATCACTGATTCTGTAATTCTGTGTACATTCCTGTTTTTATGAAGTTTTGGCAGCTACTACACTCGCAGTTGAACAACAAAAGACAACAACAGGTCAAGATGTTACCTTGAGCTGGCCATTATTATTTTTTCCCTGCTGCTCGTTGAACCAAAGATTATGTATCATTAGTTTGTTTTTCACATATCATCTCTTTGTGGTTTTGATTTGTTTTCTTTTCTACTTATTGAATTTAATTCTACTCTGTTCCAGGTATTGAAAGATTCCTAGCTGTTTTGTTGTCTTCACAGAAAATTTCTTTCACTTTCACACACATTGTAATTCCTTTGACACTTCTAGGAGACAAGCATGACATGGGTATTGCAATTATGAGCTCTGAAATACAGATGGAAACATCTCCACAATAATTGTTTGTGTTCTTTCAGGTTTTGTTGCCTGACTCCAGATTTTGCTTCCTTGATCAATTTTCCATTCATGTTTTCATTCATGATTTTCTTTTCTCTTTGAATTCCTGCATGTATCTGACAGTTTTTCAGTCTCTCATGTAAGGATCCTGTTTTTCTTTGTAAGCATGAGGCATGCAGTGCCTATGCAATAAACCTGTCTAATTTCTGAAGAGTATAAACCCTTAAAACAGGTCTTTTCTTTCAGCTCTTAAAGAACCGCAATATACTCCCTTTAAACCTAAAGCAGCTCCCATCCCAGATGCTCCACACAGCAAGCCGGGTAAATTATCTGGTCTTTTGTCAAGCTGCGGTTGATAATGAGCAACTGCTTTCAGGGTGGGCAGTGGGGGGAGTTGTCAACAGTACATTTGCTGTTACCTGGGTATCATTCTAGCTTAAGAAACCTGTGCAATGCTGCAGTCAAGTCATACCACTGGTGGAAACTACAACAGTTCAAGACTTTTTTTAATATTACGTGTGTATTACCAAAAGAAGAAATAGTAGTGGCGTGTGTTTAAATTGATGATAAAAACTTTTTCACAGCTTGTATCTGAGCAGCACGCTTCAGTTGTTTGCACGAAACTACAACAGTTCAAGACTTTTTTTTATATTACGTGTGTATTACGAAAAGAAGAAATAGTAGTGACATGTGTGTTTAAATTGATGATAAAAACTTATTCACAGCTTGTATCTGAGCAGCACACTTCAGTTGTTTGCAAGCTTTGTGTTTTTGAAGCTCTTACGAGAGAAGGCTCTCAAAGCTGTTGCAGTGTTTTTCCTTTATATACACATTTTCATTCAGATTAGACTGAGGATTCCCTTCAGTTGTATTTTGATTGGGAGACTCCACATCATAAATCGGACTGACCTGTATAAGATAATCAGTGATTTCACTGAAGGGCTATTAGTCTTGGTTTTTAAGTATCTAGATGTTAAAAGCAAACAAAAAAATATGACTTTTTGTAACCATAAATCTCTGAGTTGAAATACCCATTGCTATTTTAAAACATCCCTTGCCTGGTGTATATAGTATAGCGCTGGAGGTTCCTTTTAAGGGAGCGGGGTGGGGGGGTGGAAGGGAGAGTTTCTTCATTATTCTGAGCATTTATTGACATTTTTTCCAACAGAAATCAGTCCAACCTTCCATGAACCAGATACTACTATGATTCCTCATATTCCTGAAAGAACAAAGGCAACATTGGGTAATCACGTGTATTTCATAAACAATTACTCTATTTTCCATTCTTGTTAGAGAAGATATTCTTAGAGAAAGCTCATTACATAATATTATAACTAATAATGAAATTTTGCTCTGCTTCTAGATCCTTGCTTGTCCTTTGGTCTTGATAAGGGTAATAAGCATGAGCTCATTTACTTTGGAAGGTTCTTTTCCTCATCTTCTAGCCTTTCCAGTCAGGATGATGTAATTCCTTCAGATGTTACACATTTTCCAGTAAAAGGGGACTTTCTTTAATGAGCAGGTAGTGATTCCAGTAATTTCTGCATCCGAGGTATGGATTCTGTCATCTTAAAATACTCTTCTGCTTTACCCTTCAAGGTATAATTTTACGGAAGAAAATTGCAAGAAAATGATAAGGTATCAACTATAGCATAATGTATACCAAAACAGACCAGCTGTGTGACCCTCCAAATGAAATACTAGTTCTTAACACCATCTTCTCTGCTACTTTCTAGTCATCCATGTTAGGAAAACTTGCTCAAATATATGAACCATTGACTGAGAATTCTTTCTTCTTAACTTGAATGTCAGATGTGGACAAAATAAGGGTCAATGAATGCAAGCGGGATTGAGTAGCAGGAGCATTGTTTGAGCAATCTTTGTTAATAGCCAGTTCTCTGTCCCCGGTTTCAGAGACAGACATTGACCATGAATTTCTGAGAATGAAATGGTATCATTAATGAAGTATTAATAGCCATTTAGTAATCTTCAAACTGTGTTTTTTCTTTTTGAGGAATAAGAAATCATGTTTCTATTTTAATATACATTCCCTGTATGCATTGATACTTAGGTTAGTATTCAATTGATATCTCTTTATATAGCTTCATGAAGTTTACATGCCCTATTGTAGACATTTTGGGCTACCATCATGGGCAGAATACTATATTCATACGCAGAAAATAGTTCTTCAGAGCTTCTGCAGATTGACCAGAAGCTCAGCATGAGCCAGCAATGTGCAGTCGCAGCCCAGAAGGCCAACCGTATCAGGGGCTGCATCAAAACAAGTGTGGCCAGCAGGTCAAGGGAGGTGATTCTGCCCCTCTACTCCACTCTCTTGAGACCCCACCTGGAGTACTGCATCCAGCTCTGGAGACCCCAACATGGACCTGCTGAAGCGTGTCCAGAGGAGAGCTACAAGGATGATCCGAGGGCTGGAGCACCTCTCCTGTGAGGAGAGGCTGAGAGAGTTGGGGCTGTTCAGCCTGGAGAAGAGAAGGCTCCAGGGAGATCTTATTGTGGCCTTCCAGAGAGCTGGGGAAGGACTTTTTACTAGGGCATGTAGCGATAGGACGAGAGGGAATGGCTATAAACTGGAAGAGGACAGGTTTAGATTAAACATTAGGAAGAAGTTTTTCACTTTAAGGGTA